CTGCTGCTGCTGCTGCTGCTGCTGCTGCTGCTGCAGTTGCTGCTGCTGCTGTACTTGTTGTTGTTGCTGCTGTCTCCGGTGTTGCTGCTGCTGGCAGTATTGCTTTTCCTGCTGTTGCAGGCCTGTGCTGGTGCTGCAGTTCGGGTATCGGCTGCAGCAGCATCGATTGCTGCTGCTGCCGCAGTGACAGCAGCAGCAGCAGCAACTGGAGCAGCACCAGCGGCAGCAACTACTGCTGCTGCTGCTGGTTGGAGTACTGCTGCTGAAGCCACGATAGAGCGCCTTACATGCAATCTGCTGCTACCCTAAGCCATGTTCGTGCACTGGTTGCTGCTGGTCTGCTGCGCTTGCTGCTGCTGCTGCTGCTGCTGCTGCTGCTGCAGGTACGAGTGAGTTGTTGGAGCTGCTTGAGCAAGAAGAGATGCAGCAGCGTGAGGAGACAGGAGCATTATTAGAGTTGCTGCAGCGGCAGCGCCGAGACATTCGTTTGTTGCAGCAGCAGCAGCAGCAGCTGCAGCAGCAGCTTGAGGAGACGCAGGCAACGTTGAACGACCAGAGACAGCAGAATCAGCAGCTGAGGAGACAGCTGCTGGTTATTAGAAAGCTAAGAAGCAGCGAGAAGCAAAAGGTAATAAGCAATCTAAAGCAAGCAGAGACGCAGCTGCAGCAAGACCTCGACTTCTTCTTCTCTCAGGGGCCCCCAGAAGCAGCAGCAGCAGGCACCCAGAGCTTCTTTGAACCTCCCCTCACACTGCAGCAGACGCAAGCAGCAGCGGAGCTGTTGCGGCAGCGCCAGCAGCTGCAGCAGCAGCAGCAACAACAACAGCAGCAGCAGAATTGGTCTAGTTCTGCTGCTTCATCACCGCTAGCTAGCAGGGGGCTGCTGGGGGCCCCCCAGGGGGCCCCCCCTCAAACCTTTTCAAACTTGGGGGCCCCCTCAGCAGCAGCAGCGAAGCTGCCGAACATTTTGCTGCCTCCGACGTCTACTCTAAGGGGGGGCCCCACACCAGCAGGGGGCCCCCAGCAGCAGCAGCAGCAGCAGCAGCTGCAGCAGCAGCTTAAGGCAAAGCCCCCTTTAAAAGGGCCCCCAGCAATGAAGCATGCAATGCTCGCTCTCGGTAGCAGCAAAACTCCGGGGGCCCCCTCTCTTTTAGCTGCTAATGGGGGGCCCTCCAACGGGGGCCCCTTAGCTCCCACTAGTGCAGCAGCAGCAGCAGCAGCAGCAGCAGCAGCAGCAACAGGGAATGGAGAGACAGCAGCAGCAAACAACGCAGCAAAACCCCCTTCTTCTCTGTCTCCTAGCTTCCCTCTCTCCTCACAATACAACGGACGAGCAGCCGTTGGGGGCCCCCTAAGGGGACCCCTAGGGGGGCCCCCAGGGGGCCCCTCAGGGGCCCCTGGGTTGCTGTCGCCGGGTATAACTGCTGCTGCTGCAAACTCAAAACCTGCAGCAGCAGCAACCTATGGTGCTCTGTTAGACGTACCTAAAGGGATTCCAAGGGGGCCCCCCCCGGGGGCCCCTAAAAGCATTACTAAAGCAGCTGCTGATTTAGGTATAGGCAGCCCCAGCCTAAAGGGGGCCCCTAAAGCTGCTGCTGCTGCTGCTACTGCTGCCTCAGGGGCCCCCAAGGGGACCCTCTTGGGGGCCCCCACGACAGCTGGGGCCGCACCAACAACGCACATTGCAGGCCTCACACGCCTCTCAGAATAGCAGCAGCGGCAGCAGCAACAGCAGCAGCAGTAGCAGCAGCAGCAACAGCAGCAGCAACAGCAGCAGCAACAGCAGCATCAGAAAGGGGGGGGAAGGCTTGGCTTAGGAGCTGCCTGTACACCCCAGCGAACCGCACTTTAGACTGAGGGGCCCCCAGGGGCCCCTACTTTTACTTCCGCTCTCAACTTCCGCATCTAATTGCTCTTCCGTTTGCAGCAGCAGCAACAGCAGCAGTATTAATAGTACTAGTAGCAGCAGCAGCAGTAGCAATAGTAGTCGTAGCAGCAGCAGCAGTAGGAGTAATGGTAGCGGCAGCAGAAGCAGCAGCAGTAATAGTTGCAGCAGCAGCAGAAGCAGCAGCAGTAGTGGCAGCAACAGCAGCAGAAGCAGTAGTAGTAGTAGTAGCAGCAGCGGCAGCAGCAGCAGCAGCAGCAGCGACAGCAGCAACAGGTGTAAACTGGCACTGCAGATGAGGTCGCGTTTATAATACGGAGGTAAGACGGCGCTGCAGCTGCTGCTGGTAGCTATCTACCAGCAGCAGCAGCAGCAGCAGCAGGGCTTCCTGCTGCTGCTGCTGCTGCTCTTCTTATTACTGGCGCACCGCGTCAGCGGCAGAGTTG